TTTTGCTTATGTGGTGCTGAGGAATCGAACCCAGGTCCTCAGGCATGCAAGGCAAGCGCTCTACCACTGAGCCACCTTCCCAGCCCCCAGCTGTGATATTTTTAATTCCCTTAACACCCTCATTTTTAGAGGCAATTTCTTAAATGTCTAGCCAATTTATGAATTCTATTGAGGCTTGTACAAATGTATTTCTAGAAATTCTAAAATGATAAGTTAAGAAAACCACTGGGCCACTCAACACATCTTCTGCTTCCCAAACAACAGAACTAGAGGGAAGTAAGTATACCTGGTGGATTCTGAGTTTCACGTGCCACCTGTCAGGATATAGGAGGGGAAGGACAATGGAATAGTCTATTAAATCTACTGTGCCCATTTTCTTTTCAGAGTGCTACTAGGGCACACTCTTTTGAGTTTTGAGTTTTATGTTTTATTCTCAAACTCAGTTATGATGATCTGTTTAGAACTAAGCCAGCCTTGTCAATGATACATGTTACATGATGGTATAACATTAATGAGGAGAGAAAAATATAGGGGATTCCAAGTTTTAGATGTGACAATTCGCAAAGGAGTGGGAGAATAATGAGGTTATTACCTGGAACCTATGTAATCATTTAACTACAGAAAGTTGACTAAAGTATGTTACAGTGATCATTCATTTTCCTATAATATTGAAATAGTTCCTTTCTCCTCCCACAGAATTCCACTATTCTTCACAGGAAAAAGAGTAAACATTTTCAAAACTGTTAAGTTAACTCTGGTTATTTATTTTTAATATTTTAAATATCTCACAAAACTACAGCCTACATCAACTCTGTTGGAATATACATACCTGCCTATTTTGAAGTGCTCCAAACAGAGGTTTTCCTTCATCTTCCAATAGGTTTTCTTTAAAAAAAAAAAAAAAAAAAGGAAAACACAAAAGCAATAACTCCAGAATACTGCTTTTTTTTTTTTTTTTTGAGACAATATCTTGTTATGTAGCTCAGACTGGTCATGAATTCACTAACCCAGTCTGTCTCAAATTGATAATCTTTCTGCTGCTGCTTCCAAGTGCTGGGATTGTAGTATTATACTCCATTCTTTTTCTTTTTTTTTTAATTTTTGCTTATGTGTTGCTGAGGAATTGAACCCAGGGCCTCAGGCATGCAAGGTTAAGCGCTCTACCACTGAGCCACCTTCCCAGCCCTCTTTTTCTATCTTTAAATAGTCGAAAATAAATGATGCTTTGATTCTTCAACTACATCTTGTGCCAATATATCTGTTATATTCTTTACTGTTCTCATAAGAGAGAGAGAAGTTAGCTGATTATATACTACAAATAAACATATCTCACCACAAAAATAACTGAGTAAACATATTTGATAATTAGCTTGGCTTAATCTTTCTATAGCATATACTACTCTTTAAAACATCATATTAGCCAGGTGCCAGTGGCTCATGCCTATAATCCTAGCTACTCAGGAGGCTGAAATCCAGCCTGGGCAGGAAAGTCCATGAAACTCTTAGCTCCAATGAACCACCAGAAAACCAGAAGTGGTGCTGTGGCTCAAGTGGTAGAGTGCTCATCTTGAGCTGAAGAGCTCAGGGACAGTGACCAGGCCCAGAGTTCAAACACCACGACCAACAAGAAAAAAAAAAAAAAGAACATCATATTATACCCAATTCAATTTTACCTGTCTATTAAAAAGATGAAAGTAGAACATTATGTTTGCAGAATGGAAAAAAAAAACACTATAACACACACAATATGAAACTATACTAATTGAAAAGAATCTAACTATTACAAGATTACAAAATTACCTATGAAAAGATTCGGTATATTTCTATTGAGTGGGTCATTTACTTTATAACAAAACAAGGATTTTATGTTCACAGCATCTAAATATAAGGAGATGTTAGTCTTTCCAAAGGTAGCAAAAAGTATAAAATACTGGTTGAATATTCCTAATCTAAAATTCTCTGAAGTTAAAACATTTTTTAGGTTTTTTCAAGTATTTTTTTCTTTGTTAACATACATTAATAGTATAAAGGTGCATCACAGTAAATAAATAAGTCCATAAGTTCTATGGATTCATACAGTGTACTGCAGAAAAGTTCATCCCTTCAATTATGTTCACTGAATTTCCCTTCCTCCCCACTGCCTTTTTCGAACAGTCTGATATGCATATGGGTATACACACATAAACACAAATGTCTGCTAATTAATTCCATTTGGTCTACAGGGTCTCTTAATGCTGAAGTTTCTTTGATTAGCTGTCTGGAGGACCTATCTATTGGTGGGAGTGAAGAACTGAAGTCTCACACCATTATTATGTTGGAGTCTGTCTGTGACTCTAAGGCTAGTACTTTTTATTTAATGTAATCAGATATACCTATGTGTGGTACGTGTATGTTAACAATTGTTATCGCCTTTTGATGAACTATTTTCTTTATAAATATAAATCTTTGTGCCTTCTGAGTAATTTCTATAATTTTTATTGTCTGTAAAAGTTGTTGTACAAAGTAGCTGCCATTCAACAAAGCAGTTTATGAATACCCTGCGTCTTGATCGGTATCACCCCTTATAATATTCTCACCCATTGAAGATTCTTTTTTCTATTTGGTGAACCTGGGGCTTGAACTCAGAGCCTGGGCACTGTCCTTGAACTCTTCTGCTCAAGGCTGGTACTCATCCATTTGAGCTACACTTCCACTTATAGCTTTTTTTGTGCTTAATTATAGGTAACAGTCTCATAAACATTCCTTCCTAAACTGGGTCAAGCTGTGATCCTCAGATCTCAGCCTCCTGAGTAGTTAGGATTACAGCTGGGATTACACCAGAAGTAGGCTGAAGACTTATCAGGTAAGAGTATAGCTACTCCTGTTTACTTTCCAAGTCCTTTTGTTAGGAAAACTCTTAGTCCTTAAAACTCCTCTATGGTATTGTACTTTTTAACTATAAGGAACAAATGTTTCATTTAAAATCTAAGTGATTCTTGATCGTATAAAGTTATAAATCAGCCATTAAAAAAGTTTTTTTTTGGTACCAAGAATTAACCCAGGGCCTTATACATGCTAGGCTAGGCAAGTGTTTTTCCACTTGAGCTGTCTTTCCTTCTTTCCTTCCTTTGTTAATTCGTTCATTCATTTCTTTCTTCCTTCCCTTTCTTGGCAGTACTGGGGCTTGACCTTAGGGACTCCAATGCATTTGTGTTGTTTTCTCATGATTGGCTGTCTACCACTAGAGCCATGTCTTCAGTCCAGCTTTTTTATCTTCCTGGGCTGATTTTGTTTTTGTTGTTTTTTTCAAAGAAATTATTTACTTTAATGTGCTATTAATAAAATCATGAAAATATATTAACACTAGTTATGAAGTACATGCAGCATTATGAGCATATTAAAAGATCTCATTTTTTAATAAAACATTAATTTGTGAATCTACATATTTATCCTTTGAAAGGTTATAGATTTTCGCATATTTTTCTTATACGTGATCAAGTAATTGGTACCTGTTACCTATCAACTCATCCTTAACAATGAATACTGTATTATTTTCTATGAGTAAATAGGAATTTTTATGGGTCTCTCAATCCTGAGTAGCCAAGTTTGCAAGTGGGAACCACCAGTGCTTGCCTCCCTGCTTTATTTTGTTTTTGAGATACGGTCTTGCTAACTTTTAGCTGCACTGATCTAAAACTTGCCATCTGTCTCTACTCTCAGGAATTACAGGTATTTGTCACCACTTTCAGCTAAATCGACCACTTTTGACTGTTACATGCTTGAGTTATCCCTTTAAGCTATCTTTAACTTACGCTGTATATGATCACTATGATAGTTGGCTAAAAGTGACCTATAGAAAAAAATGACCACACCTCAAACAGCTCAAAGCCTTCTGGGATATTAGGAGAAAAATGATATACTTTTTGGTCAATGAATGTTAATTCTGTTTTAGTGAAATGCCCAAGCCATTTTCTTCTAGGCCTTACCAATTGCTTGAATAGTGAAAGCACATGTGCTCCAGGTCATCACAGGGACTCGAGGATCCATTTCATCAGGAGGCACTTTCAGTCCAATTCTATAAATTGTTGTGGCAAAGAGAACCACCATTTCCTTGATACTATTAGAATACTTAATCCTAAAAACGAAACAGGAGAAATTTATGTGGTAGTTTAGTAAAAAAGGCTACTTTCTCGGAAGTTTAAGTACAGAAGCAACAGAAACAAGTTAACCTTTTCTTTTGGCCACACTGGGATTTTAATTCTAGGCCTCATACTTGCAAGGCAGGTTCTCTACCACTTGTCATACCTCTATTACTTTTTTGCTTTAATTACTTTTCAAATAAGGTTCTGTACTGATGCTCAGGCTGGCCTGGGCCATAATGCTATTTCCACTTCCTATGTAGCTGAAATGACCATGCCCAGCTGAGTGGGACTATCTTACAAACTTTTTTCCCAGACCAGCCCAAAATCAAAATCCTCATGACATTCACCTCCCAAGTAGGTGTAATTACAGGCATGAGCCATGAGGTACAGCAAATCCTTTTTGACAGAAGTAAATAGTTTTGTTAAATTAGAGATTAGAACCTCCAGAAAGTACTCTTGTATAGATAGGTGTATGTATGTGCTTGTCTTACATGTATGTGTGGTAAGGTAATAACATGCAAAGGGGTGGTAACTTCCATTTGTAATAAATACCTCAGCAGCAATAGGACAGCTAATATAAACAAAGGTTAAAACTACAAAGGTCCAGATAGTAATATTTGTGAATTAATGATACTTGATTTATTGTATTATGTATTTGTCAAAGTGTCATCACATAAGTATCTTCCAGATAACATGTGGGGTAGATTTGAAGGCTACTGCCTCATAAATATATATCCTCTTCTGGACCATACAGAATTGACTTTTTGTCACTGGTAGTGAAAAATATATGCCATGAAACATGTATTTTTAATATCTCAAACCACTTTATTTTACTAATACAAATAAAGCTCCAGGGAGGAAATGGGAATACTTTTACAAATAAAAAATGAAGGAAAGAAAGATGGAAGGACTGTTTCCACTATTATTTTTACAACCATTTATAAACTTCATGGATACTTACGATGACTGAACTCCAAAACTCAGGATGGAATGAAACTCAAAAGTGGAATCGCCCATTCCTTGATTAAATAAGACAGGAATGGTTGGGCTTTCTCCTTATACATTAAAATGAAAAAGAAAGAAAAATCATGAATAAATTTAATCTGATAGTAATACATGTTGCTTTTTAAAATTATACATGATCATCTTAAAAAATACTAGAAAGCACTGAATATGCATTCATACATTCTCCACCCAGGCAACCAGAAATGATATTGGGATGATTTTTCCTTTCTCCATATTAATATTTCTCCATGTAGATATTCTTAGACATCAATATGCTAATTTTATTTCAAAAAATAAAATAATAACTTCTAAGTAAAATAAGTTCTTTCAATAAGGAGTTTTCTAACAAACACACTGTTAACTCCATTGGAACCAATTGTGAAACATATGAAGTTAATGGAGAAGGGATAATTAGGATGGATGCTGCCAAAGACAGTCACTGCTGACTGTTGTATTATCATTCTGTCTCTAAACGATCAAGTCTAAGTTCTTATTTGCAACCCTCCATAACCTTGTCCTAGAGTCTCCTCTGTTTCCTACTATGTACCCTCAACTCTGGTAAGCTAAGCTTTTTTAATGTCTCTGAAAATGTCATATTCATACTTTTTAGAAAACGTTCTCCTCATACCTATCTCCTCACCTCCAAATTTACCCTGAGATCAAATTAAGTCCCATTTTCTCCACAATGTATTTTCCCTTGCTACAGCTTCGATTAATCAATTCTGGCTTTAAATTCTTTTTTTTTTTTGGGGGGGGGGGGGGGGGGCTGGGGTGCGGAGGTGTTGGTCGTGGGGCTTGAATGCTGGGCCTGCGCACTGTCCCTCAGCTCTTCAGCTCAAGGCTAATGTTCTACTGCTTGAGACACAGTGCCATTCCGACCTTTTCTGTTTATGTGGTGCTGAGGAATCAAACCCAGGGCCTCATGCATGTGAGGCAAGCGCCCTCCCGCTGAGCCACCTTCCCAGCCCCTTTGGCTTTAAATTCTATTAAACAGATCTAATTCTTTCTTTCTGCATTAAGGAATGCATCTGTTCTATAGGGATCAAGGCTTGTACAGTAATGAGCATCTGATTAAGCACTCAGCATTACAGAAGGTGAAATAGATGGGGAACACTGGGACAAATAAAAGAAGGGAAAGATGAAAGAAATAAAACATAAATAATCTGATGATACCTAGAAATGTTCTGAAATATTTTCTAGGTGAACTAGTCATCAATTTTGGATCTAAGGAAGGAATGAGACTGGAGTAAACTTTTAAGCAGGACATGTAAGCGCAGCCTGTGGTGCCAGCCACTGAGGTCGTGGTGGAAGGACCACTATGCCCCCAGGTACAAGGCCAGCTTGACAGCAGAGCAAGATGGGTTAAAAAAAATTTCAACTGGGGGCCGAGAAGGTGGCTCAGTGGCAGAGCGCTTGCCTTGCATGCCTGAGGGCCTGGGTTCGATTCCTCAGCACCACATAAGCAGGAAAAGTCGGAAGTGGCGCTGTGGCTCATGTGGTAGAGCGCTAGCCTTGAGGTGGGCCAGGCTCACGCCTGTAACCCTAGCTAATCAGGAGGCTGAGATCTGAGGATCACAGTTCAAAGCCAGCTTGGGCAGTAAAGTCCATGAGACTCGTATCTCTAATAAACCACTAGAAAACCGGAAGTGGCGCTGTGGCTCAAGTGGTAGAGCACTTGCCTTGAGCTGAAGGGTGCCCAAGCTCAGAGTTCAAGTCCCACGACCAACCAAAAAAAAAAAAATAAGCTGGATTCTTTTTTATCCCATTTATTCACAGCCTAGTAAAGTGAGATACTTTTCTAAACACTTAACACTAAATATTGTAAATGTCCTTTTTCTTTCCCAAGCATATCTCTACTAATAACTAGTCTCTAAATTGCAAGGAACATGCAAATAAGGCAGTAGATTTAAGTGGTTGTCTATTATTAGGGTTGGAACTTAGAGTCTTGCATTGCTAGGCAGGCACTGCACCAAGCCTTTAGCCCTCTTTGTGTTGGTTATTTTGAGATAGGACTTTGCTTTCTCTGCCCAGACCTGGGACTGGACTGTGATCCTCCTATCTGGTAACCAGAATAACATAGCATCCAATTTCTTCAACTGAGTTTCAAGAACATTTTGTGTGGACTTCCTGGAATCTTGATCCTCCTCACCTTAGCCTCCTGAGTAGGTAGGATTACAGGCACACACTACTACTCCAGACAAGGTAATAGTTTTAAATTTTTTCTGTTATTAGTATTAATGGTAACATACCAATAATATCAGTATTAGTAATGGCTAACACATATAGCTCTAGGAGCCACGGACTATTCTACTCTATAAGTAATAATCCAATTCTTCAAGCAATGAAAAAGGTACTGACATTACTATTGCCTAATTGTAGATATGACAGTTGAGGTAGCAATGAGCTTAAGTAACTGACCCAAGATCACAGACCCAGTAGTGATCCTTACTGAGTGAGGTGGATTTTTGGATCTAAGATTCAAAGTCAGGCAGAATGACTCCAGAATAACTGCCTACCTCTTCTGCCTCTCAGTAAGAAAAATGACTGAACTGAGGACACTGATATGAATCAACCTTTGTCTTGACTTCAGAAACTTCCTTTTCCTGATATCTAACAAGTGTGTGCTTCTTTTAGCATAATTGCCTTTTTTTTTAAAAATTAAAGATTCAGACATAATTTGCACACAACTAATACAAAATAAATTCAAGCAAACCTTTAGTGTGTTTCACATTATAACCTGATATTCTGGCGAGAACAGTCTGTATCCACTGTGCCAAGGTCAAAAGTTGAGCCAGAGCTTCTGCATTTTCACTGGAAAAAAACAAAACACATAATTTAGAAATTATTAATATCATCAGAACAAAGTTGATTTGAAAAGCTGAACTCCTAGTCTTTCCTTGAGGAAGTGGCTACATAAAAATACCAAATTCTGGGGCTGGGAAGGTGGCTCAGTGGTAGAGCGCTTGCCTTGCATGCATGAGGCCCTGGGTTCGATTCCTCAGCACCACATAAGCAAAAAGAAAAAAGCCAGAAGTGGCGCTGTGGCTCAAGTGATAGAGTGCTATCCTTGAGCTGAAGAGCTGAGGGACAGCGCCCAGGCCCAGAGTTCAGGCCCCCCGACCGGACCCAAAAAAAAAAAAAAAAACACAAATTCTGCTAGGTGCTGGTGGCTTATGCCTATAATCCTAGCTACTTAGGAGGTTGAGATCTGGGAATTATGGTTTGAAGCCAGCCTAGGTAGGAAAGTCCATGAGACTCTCTTCTCCAATTAACCACCAGAAAACTGGAAGTGGTGCTGTGGTAGAGGGCTAGCCTGAAGTGCGAAAACTCAGGGACAGTGCCTGGGCCTTGAGTTCAAGCTCTATGACCACCACCACCACCACGACCAAAATCAAATTCCTCCAGATTAATTATCAAAGTCAAAGAAACATGTGCCTAAAGGTGAAGTTATTTGGGAAGAAAGAGGATTTTAAAAGTATAAGGAAGGCTTAGTGGTAGAGTGCTTGCCTAACAAGCATGAAGCCCTGTTTGATTCCTCACTACCACATAAACAGAAAAGGCAGAAGTGGTGCTGTGGCTCAAGTGGTAGAGTGCTAGTCTTGAGCAAATAAAGGTCAGGGGTAACCTTCAGGCTCATAGTTCAAGCCCCATCACCAACCAAAAAAAAAAAAAAAAAGGTATAAGGAATAAGATACTCCCCACACATCTATTGCCCAGAATACTAAGTACTAGTAAACATAAATAACATTCTAGTTGTTTAAAGCAGAAATAGGCATTGTCACTGAGTTCTTGATTCTCTCACACTATTATCTCTTAGCTGCTTTTACAGGTTTTACCTTATGAATATATTCTAAATCAATTCCTTATAATGTACCCTAAATTAACTATTACGCTAATCCCTGAACGGAATTATTTACTACTCTTTCTGCTTCGATTCCTGTATTTTATTATTAAGTGCAAATTTAACACACCTCAATTAAAGGGAGCTTCTAAAACTATAGGTCAGATATTCTCTTGTTGGAATATTGCAGTGGTTTTCCATCACATACTTCTCAATTTAGCTCATGAGTCCCTTCCTAATCAGGCTATCTGCTTGCAGGCATGCAGCCTCCCTGCTGTGACTGGAACATGCCTAGGTTTCTAACTTGGTGCCTTTGCTCTTGACATTGCCTGTGCAGTATCGTCTTCCAGGGATACTGACACTCATTTTATTGGCGTCTTCACTCAAACGTTACCATCCCAGAGAGGAGCTTCCTCACAATTCTGTCCACACATAGTGTCGTGAGCTAATTGATAGATAGCTACCTGGCTGCTTTTTTGTTTCCCCACAGTGTTTCTCACTATGAGGAGGAGGGGCTGGCAATGAACATTACAGAAAGACAGGGGCTTGACCCAAACAGCTCTTGAGGACCAAAGGAAGGGGACCAAAACCAGCCAGTGCCATTTAAAAGGCTAACTGATTCTGTTTTATTGAAAAGAAAAACCTTCCCATAAAAGCAAATTAACGATGCACAATAAATCTGTATCTATGGGCACAAATCTGACCTAAGAAATTGTTTTGGTTCTCAAGTGAGAATTATAACTAGCTATGACTTAAAAATATTAGCATACTGGTTTTGAAATTTTTTCTAGAAAATTTTTAAGTTTGATCATTTTGATAAGGGGTCTGTCTCTGCTTTTTATAGTATGAAGGACTGAACTCAGAACCTGTACATGTTAAGTGCTCTTACCACTGAGCTACATCACCAGTCAAATACATTTTCATCAAATCAGCAAAACCATTTCCTTTATCAGAACTTAGGTTTATTGATACAAGTTCACCGTGTTTTTTTGTTTTGTTTTGTTTTTTTGCTGGTTGTGGGGTCTCTGGGCGCTGTCCCTCAGCTCTTCAGCTCAAGGCTAGCACTCTACCACATGAGCCACAGAGCCACTTCTGGGTTTTTCTGCTTATGTGGTGCTGAGGACTTGAACCCAGGGCCTCATGCATGCAGGGCAAACACTCTACCACTGAGCCACCTTCCTAGTCCACAAGTTCACCATGTGTTAAAGAAACTGAAGATCAATTTTAAATAGCATATTCTCATCACATACTAGAAGAAAAATACAGAAAATATATAATTAAAAAGTTTTAGTTGTCATCTAAAACAAAAACAAAAAACACTGGGCCCAGCATCAGTGGTTCGTACCTGTAAAAGCCTACTCAAGAGGCTGATATTTGAGAATCACAGTTCAAAGCTAGCCCAGGCAGGAAAGTTTGTGGGACTCTAATCTCCAATTATCTACCAAAAAGCCAAAAATGGCACTGTGGCTCAAAGTGGTAGAGCACTAGCCTTGAGCACAGAAGCTCAGAGATAGCACTTAATCTGAGTTCAAGCACCAGGATCAGTAAGTACACACACATGCACATGCACACACACACCCCAAATTTGTTGTTATATTCTATTTATAGGTAATCAGAATGAAATTTTTTAAAGCACTAGACAAGCGCAGGTGTCTTATATCCAAAATCTTAGCCACTCAGGAGGCTGAGATCCGAGGCTCGTTGTTCAGTGCCAGTCTATGCAAACAAATCTTATCTCTCATTACCTAGAAAAAGCCAGAAGTAGAGGTGTGGCTCAGGTAGTATAGCACCAGCCTTGAGCAAAAGAAGTCAAGCAAGAGTTCAAGGTCTTGAGTTCAAATCCTAGTATTTACATGCACACACACAAAGTAAAGCTCTAAATGGTCACATATTACCAAAGGTGGTATGATAGTGGTTTTATTGTTTTTTTTTTAATTTTCATACAGGTCTCAAAACAAATGACATTAGCACTTGGACCCTCAGTGTTCTACTGTTTTAATTGTGTATGAGAGATCTAGGCATGGCAAAGTGACTTGTGTGACCACCTTAGTTTTCTTAAGGACCAAATGTTATGCTTTCAATCTAATTTTAAAAGTTATGAAATGAAAAAGTACACTAGTTTCTCTAAAGGTTAATGATGGGCATTTAAACACTGACCTATGTATAAGCTAAAACATACCTGTTTATCTTCTGAGGTTGCAAGGGAATAAGAGGGATCACAGTATTGCACAGAGACTTGCAAAGAGGGCAAAGATATTCTCCACTCTCCAAGTCAAAAAGATCAACATGAATGCGCTGCTGAGAGCTCAGCTGCACAGCTTCAAAATACCTGCAAAATCCCAAAGACACAGGTCCGCTTAGAACCACATGGTGGCTTTTTTCCAAGTGCAAAGATTTGGAGTTTTGGATCCCAAAAACATTTTTAGAACTCAAGTGCAAAATTATTCATGTTAAAATTATGGAAAACAGTTTATGTCATGGCAGATACAGTTTATAGTGAAGTTTACTGAACTGTAACTATGGAGACATAAAGGAAGAGACCATTTCCCTAGTTTCCAGTGCAGAGGTAAGGGTTATCTTACTATCAGTAGTAAGGCTACCAAGCTCTGGAGTTACCAGTATCTTGAATTAACTTTATGCATAAATTTCTAAGACTTGTAATAATTTCTATCATAGGCACAGAATTAAGTCATTAAAACTGTTTCAAATATTCTATTAAGAGAACAAAGGAAAGAAGACATGAGAAAACATGCCTTTTTGTGGCCTGTGGTAACTTCAAAGTTCCTAGTGTCTTTCAAGAACATGTCAGTGGAACAACTTACTTCTGCCAGCACACGGCATGCATGACATGCCCACAGCTTCCTGTGTAAGTTCCATAGGCCAAGTCTGGATCCATGAAGAGTGGGTCCATGGTTTCTGGTTCAGAAACAAGAAACAAACAAACAAACAAAATGAACAGAGGTATATATTCATCTCTTCCAAAGTTAAAAGGGAGACATGGGGACAGGTAAAAAATTGTAATCACAAAATTTCATTTCCTAGAAATGTCCAAGTATCACAATATCATGTCAGAACAGTTGTGGAAGTATAGTTAATAAAATGTTATTCTTAAATATTTTAGATGATACTAAGTTCCTTAAATATGATAATATATGATCAATATAAAAGATTGTCCCTAGTTTTAGAAAATGAATGTAGTAATATTTAGCGTTTTTATACAATAGTACAATATTTCCAACTTACTATTTTTTTTGTCAGTTGTGGGGCTTGAAGTTGGGGCTTGGGCACTGTTGTTGAGCAATTTTTGCTGAAGGCTAGAGCTCTACCACTTTGAACCATAGTGCCATTTCCAGTTTTCTGGTGGTTAACTGGAGATAAGAGTCTCACAGACTTTCCTGCCTAGGCTGGCTTTGAACCATGATCCTGAGATCTTAACCTCCCGAGTAGCTAGGATTATAGGCATGAGCCACAAGCACCAAGCCCACTCTTTTTTATCAGTCGTGGGCTCTTTTGCTCAAATATAGTATTCTATCACTTTAAGCCACATCCCTAGTATCAGTTGAATGGTTAAATGAAGATAAAAGTCCCATGGGGATTTTTCTGCCTGGGCTGGCTTTGAATTGTGATTCTTAGATCTCAGCCTCCTGAGTAGTTAGGAATATAGGCATAAGCTACCAGTGCCCAGCCCAATTTACTTTCAAATGATAAAGTAAAATGAACATAATATAAGAGAAAATAAAAATAAAGTAAGCTTGGCACTGGTGGCCCATTCCTGTAATCCCAGATATTCAGAAGGATGAGATCTAAGGACCATGGTTTGAAGCCAGCTGGGGCAGGAAAGTCCATGAGATTCTTATCTCCAATTAAGCACTAGAAAACCTTAAGTGGTATTGTGGCTCAAAGGGGTAGAGTGCTAGCCTTGAGTGAAAAAGCTCAAGCATAGCACTCAGGCCAAGCTCAAGCCCCACAACTGACAAAAAATGAATGAATGAATGAATGAATAAACAATAAAGCCTGGTGCTGGTGGCTTATACTTCAAATCTTAGATACTCAGAAGATTGAGACCCAGGGATTGAGGTTTGAAGTTGGCCCAGGCAGACAAATCTGTGAGACTCTTATCTCCAAATAACAGGCAAAAGGCCAGAAGTGCAGCTGTGGTTCAAGTGGTAGAATGCCACACATGAGTGAAAAAGCTAGGTGAGAACAAGAGGACCTGAGTTCAGGCCACAGTACTTAGAATAAACAGACAAATAAGAGATGGAGAGGAGGAGGGTGGAAAGGGGGAGAGGGGAGAGTACAGGAGGAGGGGTGGGGAAGGGAGATGGGGGAGAGAGGGGAGGAAAAAATAAAACTGACTAGAGGAGCCAACCTGGCATGTAAAACCCAAAGTCTATTTTACATGTGAGCATGGGGTCTGCCAATAGGGCTAAATGCATCCTCACTCCCAAATTTCTTTCAAAAGGAGTACTTTTTTCTTCACTTATATTGGAAGAAAAAGAAATGGCCAAAAAGATGTATGTGAAAGAATACATACCTACTGAGAGGTCTAGGGGTTTTCCCCTGCGCTGGGTCAAGGCAGTGGATTTCTGGACGCAGGCTGATAATACCATAGCATTATTTTCTATTTTCACCTCTTGTTCTTCCTGGCAGAGGATGCATGTCAGCACCTCCTTTTCAGTAACAGTTGGCCCCCGTTTAGGACCCAAAGAAATCCTAGAGTAGTCGCTGACTGCTGGGATGCTGACAAAAGAAACCAATTGTATTGTATTTATAAAATTTATCATTACATGTTCATGATAATTATATAATTACCATTATATTAAGTGAAGTAAGCCAGATCCAGAGAAACAAAGGTTTCATGGTCTCCTTCATTTGTGGTAGATAGAACATAGCCATAAATCTGTAAGTAAGCATGTTGGGCAGTACACAAGAGGTTACAAACAAACTAACTGAAGTATAATAGGCTCTATGGAGAGCTCAAAAAGTATAATTTTTTGGAAAGAACAAAATCAATGCCAGAAAACCTTGCAAGAGGCAGGGATGGACCACAGGGAGAGGAAAAGAAAAACGTATGAAGTGGGGAAGAGGGGGAGAACGCAGTTAAGAATTCACTATATACCATAAAACTAAAAAAAGGGAGAGAATGTTGAAGGGATGACACTGATCAAGCTGCATTATAGTCTAAAATGCTTTGTTAAATGGCATCTCCTTTGTAAAGCTACTAAAGATAAGAACAGTTGTTTGAGCCGGGCGCTGGTGGCTCACGCCTGTAATCCTAGCTACTCAGGAGGCTGAGATCTGAGGATCGCGGTTCAAAGCCAGCCCGGGCAGGAGAGACCGTGAGACTCCTATCTCCAATAAACCACCAGAAAACCAGAAGTGGCGCTGTAGCTCAAGTGGTAGAGCGCTCGCCTTGAGCTGAAGAGCTGAGGGACAGCACCCAGGCCCAGAGTTCAAGCCCCACGACCGACAAAAAAAAAAAAAAAGAACAGTTGTTTGTTTTTAAAAAGGAATAAGTACATTTTGGCCACTTGACTTTGTATCTTTGTAGATTTTTATATAAACAAAAATAACAAAAATTAAAACAGTAAGTAATATTATTACCATAAAAGCATTTCCCTTTCTAGCTTTAATCAATTTTCTCACTAGAAAATTGTTTGTGCTGCAAAAAAAAAAAAAAGAAGAAGAAGAAGAAATCACAGCTAGAAGAGGCTCATGCCTGTAGCCCTAAGTATTTGGAAGGTGGAGATCAGAGGATTGAGGCTCAAAGCCACCTGGGTCCTGAGATTCCATCTCGACTAATAGCTGAGCACACACCTGTCATCCACAAACTAAGTGGGAGCACAAGAACTGGGAGCAGTGGTGCGCACCTGTCATGCCCAAATGCCAGTACTCACAAACACTGAACTCGCTTATTATTGAAGAACACAGATTTCCCAAGATGACTTAGAATGGGAAGTTGCAAGATAGTATGTACATCATACCATTTGTGCAAATAAGGCAAAAGCTGGAAAATATTATATGCGCATATTTGTATGTGATACCACAGTAAAAATTCCAACAAGTATTTATAAAACTTGTAACCAGAGGAACTTTGAGGGGGAAAAAAAAGTAAAAAAGGATACAAAATTTGGATCCCTGCACCAAGTTTAACTTTATCTCTAATATTTACTATAGCCCATATAATTAAAATTGTGACTTTGGGATAGGAAAGGCCTAAACAAGACACACAAACACACAACATTAACAGCCTTCAATATTAAAAACTATTGCTAAATCTCATCATTATGAGATCACAGGAAAAGATGCTCATACTTATATTAACTAGCAAAACAAGTTACATTAGAACTTTTATTTTATCTTTCTATTCGTGGTGCTGAGGATTGAGTGTGCACTGTAAGCAAATGGACTACTGCTAAGCTATATTTCAATTTTAACATCAAGTATTATCAAGTACAAACAATTAAGTATTGGTATGAATGACGTAGATAGGTAAGCTCAAACACTGGTGGCATCAGCAACTGGAAAAGCTATTCTGAAGGACAGTGTAGCCATATTTATTAATATTTTTGACTCACACTTTTCACACTTGGGAAACTGCTTTCACAACTAGGTGAGTCACATACAAAAGTGCTCCAACAAACTAATAAGGGAAAATAAGAAATAACCTAAGTGTCCTGAATATGATTAAAAAAAAAAACATACGTAAGGTAAGCTATAGACCAAAATGTACAATAAAATAAAAACAAACCACTAATAAATAAAAGAAACCTCATTTTTTGGGTCTAATCCGCACCCTCCTTTTTTTTTTTCATTTTTTTTTTTTTGTAGCTTAAACTCAGTGCTTGGGCACTGTCCCAGAGCTTCTTTTAGCTCAAGACTAGCAAGCATTCTATCACTTGAGCCACAGAGCCACTTCCAACTTTTTCTGTTTATGTGGTACTGAGGAATTGAACCCAGGGCATCATATATACTAGGCAAGTGCTCTACCTCTAAACCACATTCCCAGCCCTCTTTTTTCCCTTTTTAAAGGCAGAATAGAAGTAGTTAAAGTATTGCTAAGTTCTGCTTACGCAGAGATGTCAATCACCTGTCATGTAGTTCAAGCCATGTTCTAATCTGTCCTCCAGAAGGAGAAATCAGAGGATTATGCTATCAGAGTATCTATTTTATTTATGCACACATAGCTATTAATGCATGGAGAAAGGCCTAAAACAATGGCCATTTATAAGCAAGGCTGTCTATATATAAGCATCAGGAATGGTAGAAGACTGTCAAAGGGAACTTACTGCATTATTTCTATTGTTTGGAGTGAGACACATTAGTACAGGACACATTCAGCAATTAATTAATTTGCTAGTTACATTTGCCTTGAACAAGGCAGACAAGCACTTCTACTGAACGGCATCCGCAGACTTCTTTTTATTTATTTAATTGTTTTCTTTTTACATAATAGGATCTTGCTAAAGCCCAGGCTGGCTTCCTGCCTTACCCTCTCACCTATAAACCTGGGATTATAGGTGTTCACCACTAGGTTTGGCTCTTTTGATTTTTAACTTTAAAATAGTCTTTATTATGGTTCCTGCTAGCACACTCAATTTCAGGAATACAGATATATGACATGGAATACAATGTAAAAAGACAATGTCTGAAATTATTGTCTCTTTTGTTTTGTTGGAAATAAATCATCACTATGTATCCCATAATGGTCTTGAATTTGCAATCTTCTTGCCTCTGATCTAGGGTTGGGATTATAAGCATGCATTGCCTCACACAGCTTCACAATTCTGGCTTAAATAACATAATTCTGGCTTAAATTCTGGAGTTTGAACTCTGGGCCTGGGTGCTGTCCCTCAGCTTTTCAGTTCAAGGCTAGCCACTCTACCACTAGAGCCACAGCACCACTTCTGGTAAAAGTCTCACTAACTTTCCTGCCCAAAAGGGCTTTGAACCATGATCCTCAGATCTTAGCCTCCTGAGTAGCTAGGATTACAAGCATGAGCCACCAGTGCCTGGCAGAAGTTTGTTTTTTTAAATGAGAATAAGGGAATATTTTCAGTATTTTAAACTTCTTGGGATTTATCTCCAAGTACTGCTCTTTTTCTTCTTCCCTTGGCTCCCTGCACTTATATAATGGTTCACAGAGCATGGCTTACAAGGTTCACCAACTTCCCTATAAGCACACTATACTGAGGTGCAAAAAAACAAATTTAGCATTTTCCCCTTTTGACGCACCATTCATGACCATACTCATGAACACTGACTTCTCTTTAAGAAAGAAGAAAAACTAGCATAAACCATATTCCTCAGGGGATGAATTGGTTATCAGTTTGCAACAATTATAGTCATTTTTCTCAAAAATCATAAACCTGATGGGGAATTTGTGAACTGCGTAAATACGCATCTAAAATGCACATGCATTTAAAATGACATGAACTGATTTCCATTTTTGCTGCTCCCACCTTCATGTCCATTAGTATAAAATGCATTTTGGAAAAGCCTGATTCAAGGTGAATAATCTTCCCTCCAAAAGTCAAGCTGTTTTTTGTTTTGTTTTACCTTTCTTCTTCCATAACGGAGTCCTCCTTCCCAGGTATTTCTGATGTATTGTCATACATTAGTTTGTGAGTTTCGATAAAGTTTTTCTGTAAGGCAGACATCTGAGCCATGATCTTCTGGCGGTGTAGCCTAGCAGCTTCGGCTTTTCTTTTTCGTTCTGCTTTTTCTTTATCCTGAGTAATCTGAACATTAAGAAACCACTGTTAAACCATATGTAAGCCGGGTGCCAGTGGCTCATGCCTGTAATCCTACCTACTCAAGAGGCTGAGATCTGAGGATCGTGGTTCAAATCCAGCCAGGGCAAGAAACTCCGTGAGCCTCTTATCTCCAATAAACCACTCAGAAAAAAGGAAGTGGCACTGTGGCTCAAGTGGTAGAGCACTTGCCTTGAGCTGAAGAGCTGAAGGACAGCGCCCAGGCCCAGAGTTCAAGCCCCATGACAAACAATAAATAAATAAATCAAATAAATAAATGAACAATATGTAAGCCAAGTATTCCTTATCTGACATGGTCAGGAATAGAAATCTTTGAGATTTCTTGGACTTGAGAATAAATGCACAGACTTTACCATTAATTTTAAGCTAAAACTCTAAAATTCAAAAGGCTCCAAAATTTTTGGTTTTGGACTGTTGGATTCATATTTCTCAACCTATTCCCTGTTCAGTTGCTAACGTTCCTTCCAGTAAGATTCTGAAAGGTTTGCCAAAGACAGAGATGAATGTAAACAGCGCCATAGTGTTATTACCTCGTCATTCTTACTGGAGTCAAATCCTGAAGTAGTTGCTACCATTAAACAAGATTTTTCTCTCAGTCGCTTCACTGTGTCAAACATCTGTGGAAAAAAAAATCAATGAAATAGTTAAAGATCTGGTTGGTATCAGTGCAAGTAGTATAATGCTAGCCTTGAGCTGAAGAGCTCAGGGATAGTGCCCAGCCCAGAGTTCAAGCCCCAACAGACCAAAAAAAAAAAAGATGTGGTTGGTGTGAGCAGAAAGACAAAAACTCACTAATCTGATTTAATCACTGTGTCTCAAAATGCCATTTCCTAGATGACTTCAATATATTGGGGGAAAATCAGACTGCAAATAACAACTCTCTTGGTTCTGACCAACCATCAGCTAGTAAGAGACGAGCAAAAGCGCTGAGTAGTCTGTTACTATGATTAGCCTTCCCTCAGATGGCCACAGGGGAATGGGTGGTACTGAGGAATAGAACCCTGGGCCTCATGCACGCAAGGCAAAACTACCACTAAGCCACCTTCCCAGCCCAGGAAACCTCTTTAACATGGTCCTGCTGAGGTCTCCATATCCTGAACTCAAGTGATCCTTCACTTCAGCCTTCTGAATTGGGATTACAGGTGTATACCATATTCCACTTCAAATGTTTTCAGCGCAAAAATGTATAAGGCACAAACCAAAACTGGAAAGTAAAACATCCTTTCTTGGTTGAGGTCTTTGTCCCCAAAAGCAATGACTAAACCACAAGTTATCAATATTTCTTTTCTTTCTTGGTTGCCCTTCCAACCTACTTCTGAGCTTTCTCTCCTGTTCACACTGGCCACCTTCTTTTTTTCTTTTCTTTTTTTTTTTTGGGGGGGGGTCCGGTCGTGGGGCCTGAACTCTGGGCCTGGGTGCTGTCCCTCAGCTCTTCAGCTCAAGGCTAGCGCTCTACCACTTGAGTCACAGCGTCACTTCCGGCTTTTTTCTTGTTGCTTATGTGGTGTTGGGGAATCGAACCCAGGGCCTCAGGCATGCAAGGCAAGCGCTCTACCACTGAGTCATCTTCCCAGCCCCTACACTGGCCACCTTCTTAAGAGGCCCCCTTAGGTTTTCACTGCTGGTCCCACTTCCTGGAGCACCTTGCAGATTCCAACAATACTGACTCCACACTATTCAGGTCTCACCTTGAACATCACCCTCTGAGTAAGGCCTCTGCTGGCCACACAAAGTAACCCTTTATTGTTCTACTGTATTATCTTGATATTTTTTCCTATTTGCATTTTTCACTGTCTATACCTCAGCTATAGTGTATGTCCCATGTCAGCAAATACTTTGCCTGTCTGGTTTAGAGTCCACAATTAAACATGGCAAATGGAAGGAATACAGTACATGTTGACTAAATATTGAAAAAAATTAATAAATCTTCCATTATTCAATAAATTCTACTAAGACAAAAAAGACAAATAAAGCTACTGACATGAAACAAACATGCGCAATCATAATAAAGACAGTTAAATAATATAGTGGTTGAATTTTAGAGCTTAATAGAGGATTCTTATAGTCACTTTCAGAATAGTGACATTTCAACCAAGGGGAACATATATGATAGTGGTCTCATTAAACTATTATGAGGGGGGTGGGTTGGTGGCTCACGCTTATAAGCTCAGCTACTCAGGAGGCAGAAATGACTTGAAACAAGACCAAATGAAAAGGTGGAGATGCCCACCCCCATCTCAACAAATAGCTGGACATGGAGATGAACATACTGGCCATAGGTAGGAGGACTGAAGTCTGCGGTCAGCCTGGGCCAATACAACATCTTATCTGAAAAACAACTCAGCAAATCAGGCTAGGTGTGTGGCTCAAGTGGTAGAACAATTGCCCAGCAAACAAGAGTATGAGAACAAATCTCAGTACCATCAAAAAATTTAAAAAAATTATAATGAGGCTGAAAACTCCTAGTGATATTATGTAAAAATTATAGCAAGCTCATTGGGCAAACAAGGGGGGCAAATGAGGATGAATAGATTTGGATTCCTTTATTTGCACAGATGAAGAGAACAATGAAACCTGTTGAAACTGTTTTAAGAAGGGAGGAGGGAAGGGTATTATAAGACAAGGTTGATTGGAATTCATTGTGCACTTGTATGGAAATGTCACAATGAAACCTTTCTTGTGAACAATGAACACCAATATGCACTAATTAATAATATAGCACTTACAAAATACTTAATAATGACTGTGACTTCTTTATGTGCTTACTACATTATACTTCTTCATTTTTTTATTTTTGTCAGTCATGGGGGCTGAACTCTGGGCCTGGGCACTGTCCCTCAGCGCTTCAACTCAAGGCTAGCGTGCTACCACTTGAGCCACAGCACCACTTCCAGCTTTTTTCTGCTTATGTGGTGCTGAGGAATTGAACCCAGGGCCTCATGCATGCGAGGCAAGCACTCTACCACTGAGCCAACTTCCCAGCCATACATTATACTTTTTTTTTTGTTGGTCGTGGGGCTTGAACTCTGGGCCTGAGTGCTGTCCCTTAGCTCTGTGCTCTACCACTTGAGCCACAGTGCCACTTCCCGTTTTCTGGTGGTTTTTATTGGAGATAAGAGTTTCACAGACTTTTCTGCCCGAGCTGGCTTTAAACTGTGTTCTGCAGATCTCAGCCTCCTGAGTGGCTATGATTACAGGTGTGAACCACCAGCACCCAGCACATTATACTTGTTAAAAGAAAATTTATTTGTGGTACTAGGGACTGAACCCCAGGGCCTCATAAATGCTAATCTATCCCCTCAGTTCCTTTACAATACTTTTTGACACTGAGAGTATATATACTCTTCCTACTTACTATAAAAGGAAGTTCACTGTATAACAGCACTCTTCAGTATACCAGTGTCAGTCTCTTAAATATCATGCTTACTGAATCTGACTTCATCAAGTGTCCACACTGACAAGCTATCTAAGCTGTGTAAGTACACTCTGTGGTACTCACATAGACATATCACTTAACACACCTTTATCAGAATTAACCATTTTAGGGGGCACTTAACTATATTTAAACCAAGATTTGATATTTTACTGCTCTCATTTACCTGGAGTATCCATGTTATCATGTCCTTCTGACCTTCCAGCTGGGGTATTCCTTTGAGCTTTTCCAAAAGCATTTGTACATTCTGAGCATTCAAGGCTGAACTTCCCAATCCTTTTATAATACACAAAATTACATATAAGAAATCAGCATCCTCATAATTATGTGCAAATTCTTATTCCTGATTAATGTTGTTCACTCTGATAGAGGTTTGTTCATTATTCCCTTAGCCATCTTCTTTTTTTTTTTTCTTTTTGTCAGTTGTGGGGCTTGAATTCTGGGCGTGGGTACTGCTCAGTTCTTCAGCTCAAGGCTAGCGCTCTACCACTTGAGCCTCAGCGCTACTTCCAGTTTTCTGGTGGTTTATTGGGAATAAGAGTCTCATGGACATTCTTGTCCCAGTTGGCTTTGACCACGATCCTCAGATCTCAGCCTCCTGAGTAGCTGGGATTACAGGCGTGAACTACCGGCACCCAGCCACCTTCATTTCTCAATGAGACAATCGGCAATTACCTGAAGTATTGAGTTACAGTACATAAGGTATTAAATACAAAACTAAAAAAAAAAACAAAAAACATGCTAAATGAATCGGGCACCAGTTGCTCAAACCTGTAATTCTAGCTACTCAGGAGAATGAAAGCTGAGGATCACAGTTTGAAACCAGCATGGGCAGAAAAAGTCTATGAGACTCTTATCTCCAATTGACCACAAAAAGACAGAAGTGACACTGGTAGAGTGCTTGCCTTGAGCACAAAAGCTCAGGGACAGCGCCCAAGCCCATAGTTCAAGCCCTAGGACTGGCACCAAAAAAAAAAAAAAAAACGCTTAAATGAGAAAAGCTTGAATTATTTTAAGCATCTTCCTACATCATCCATTGGCACTCTAAGCAAAGTGTACCCTAAATAATAAAAATATAGCCTCTCATCTTTCCTCTATCTGACTCACTGTCAAAACAAAGTATTTACTAAGAAAAACTACAGGGTAGGGAAGGTGGCTCAGTGGTAGAGTGCTTGCCTTGCATGCATAAGGCCCTGGGTTTCATTCCTCAGCCCCACATAAGCAGAAAAAAAAAAAAAAAAGCTGGAAGTGGCGCTGTGGCTCAAGTGGTAGAGCGCTAGCCTTGAGGTAAAGAGCTGAGGGACAGCGCCCAGGCCCAGAGTTCAGACCCACCACTGGACAAAAAGAAAACAAACAAAAAAAAACTATAAAATTATTCAAGAGGGAAAGTTATATTCATAAACTAAGTAGGTTTATGATGTCTTCAAAGATCTAAACAATAAAGTATAAAGTATTTTTGGTAACTGTTGGTTTTACAACCAATGTCTTCTGGAATGTGTTTCAAACCAACTGTCTGAAACATAGAATTTAACAGAAATTAAATCTAAGTTACCTTCTTTTTCCAAATAGAAACAGTACAAAATGAAATAGCACTCAAATAGACTTTTCCCTCATCCCCCTACACAAAGAAATAGCAAGGAGGGAGGTCATGCAGTAAAAATTTCACAATAGGAACTTAAAAAATGTTTTAGTATCCTTGAAAATACTGGTGAAAAACTTAACATCATGGTTCATGTATATAATCACAGCTACCTAGGAGGCAGAAAGAGGGAAGAATACAGTTTAAGACTAGGCTGGGGTGCTGGCGCATATAGTTTGCGCCTATAATCCTAGCTACTGAGGAGGCTGAGATCTGAAGATTGGGGTTCAAAGCCATCCCAGGCAGCAAAGTCCATGGAGTTCTTTTTATTTTTTGTCGGTCACCGGGCTTGAACTCTGGGCTTGGGCGCTGTCCCTGAGCTCTTCAGCTCAAGGTGAACGCTCTACCACTTGAGCTATAGTGCCACTTCCGGTTTTCTAGTGGTTTATTGGAGATAAGAGTCTCACTGACTTTTCATGCCTGGGCTGGCTTTGAACCTCGATCCTCAGATCACAGCCTCCTGAGTAGCTAGGCATGAGCCACCAGCACCAGGCTCCATGAGATTCTTCTTTTTGCTTATGTGGTGCTGAGGAATCGAACCCAGGGCCTCATGCATGCAAGGAAAGCACTCTACCACTGAGCCACCTTCCCGAGATTCTTATCTCCAATAAACCACTCATAAAACCAAAAGTGACACTGTGGCTCAAGTAGTAGAGCACTAGGCTTGAATTGAAGAGCTGAGGGACAGCGCTCAGGCCCAGAATTCAAGCCCTACAACAGACAAAAAAAAAAAACTAGGCTGGGGGAAGGTTGGGAGGGGGAAGAAAGGTGGGAGAAAAATGAAGTAGGGTAACAAGTTCTACAAGAAATGTATTTATGCATATCACCTTGACAATAAAATTTAAATTAAAAAAAAGGACTAGAATAAGCAAAGAGCTATCTAAACCACATTTCAACCAATAGCATGGCACCTGACATCTCAGATATATGGGTCCAGATTGGCAATGGCAAAAATCTACAAAATAATTAAAGCAAAAAATCTCTGGGGAAATGGTTTAAGTCCTAGAATACTTGCCTAGCAAGCATGAGAGCCCTGAGTACTACCAAAATAGTAATAAGTGAAACATACATACAAAATAATCCCTGGAGGGCTGGGAATGTGGCTTAGTGGTAGAGTGCTTGCCTAGCATGCATGAAGCCCTGGGTCCAATTCCTCAGTACCACTTAAACAGAAAAAGCCAGACATGTCACTGTGGCTCAAGTGGTAGAGCGCTAGCCTTGAGCAAAAGAAGCTCAGGCACAGTGCCCATGCCCTGAATTCAAGCCCCAGGACTGGGGAAAAAAAAAGGCCCATGGACTTTCCTGCCTTGGCTGGGTTTGAACTACGGTCGTTAGATCTCAGCCTCCTGAGTAGCTAGGATTACAGCCATCAGCCACCAGCTCCTGGACAATTTCACAGTTTTCTAAGTTTCAACTAATATCTTAAAACTGTTTAAGACCTAAACTTTCTATTACACTGTTGATAAATAATATTCAAACCTACTTGAAGCTTTATGATAAAAGTCAAATGTCACTTCTTCTTCAGGAGCTTTTTGAAGCTGCTGCTGCTCTTCTAGTAAGCCTAATGCCAGAAGATGAAATGCCTAGAAGAAAAGGAAGATCTTTAAAGTTATATATATATATATAATATATATTATATATATAAAACATATATTTTATGTATAAATATATATATAATATCATATATGTATGTATATATATATATATATATATTTTTTTTTTTTTGGTCTGGTCATGGGGCCTGAACTCTGGGCCTAGGCACTGTCCCTCAGCTCTTCAGCTCAAGGCTAACACTCTACCACTTGAGCCACAGCGCCACTTCCAGCTTTTTTCTTATGTGGTGCTGAGGAATCAAACCCAGGGCTCTACCACTGAGCCACCTTCCCAGCCCCTAAAGTTATATTTATTCAAACAGGGATATTTTAAATTTGGAGATACTAAAAATAAGCAACCTGATGTGAAAAATCCAAACCAACAAAGAAACAAAATATACACACAGAAAAAAAAAATCATAGGTTGTAGTGTTGTATCCTGTAATCTCCCAGCAGTTAGGAGACTGAGACAAAAGGATCCAGAGCCCAAGGCCAGTCTATGCTACATATCAAGATTGTGTCCCCAGCAGGACACGGATGGCTCACACATGTAATCCTAGCTACTCAGGAGGCTGAGATCAAAGTCAGCTTGGGCAGGAAACTCCGTGAGACTCTTATATCCGCTATACCACTAGAAAACCAGAAGTGGTGCTGTGGCTCAAGTGGTAGAGCGCTAGCCTTGAGCTGAAGAGCTAAGGAACAGCACCCAGGCCCAGAGTTTAAGCCCCATGACTGACCAAAAAAAAATAAAAATAAAATATAAGATTGTGTCCCCAAAACAAAAACAGAAACAAAACAACAACATGGTAGGAAAATACTTTGTGTGTGTGTGTGTCTGTGTGTATGTGTGTCAGTCACGGGGCCTGAACTCTTGGTCTGAGTACTGTCCCTCAGCTCTACAGCTCAAGGCTAGCATTCTTCCAGCTTTTTCTGCTTATATGGTACTAAGGAATCAAAGCCAGGGCCTCATGGATGCAAGGCAATCACTCTACCACTGAGCCACTTTCCCATCCTGGAAAATATACAATGACAGATGAAGACTTTTTTTAAATTGTCGGTTCTAGGGCTTAATCTTTGACCTGGGTGCTGTCCCTGGGCTCTTTTGCTCAACCACTTTGAGCCACAGTACCACTTCTGGGTTTTTTGGGTTTTTTTTCTGATTAATTGGAGATTAAGAGTCTTACAAACTTTCTTGTTTGGGCTGGCTTTGAACAATGATCCTCACATCTCAGCCACCTGGTAGCTAGGATTACAGGTGTGAACAATGGCACCTGGCTTAAACCAGGGATCTTTTCCAGATTCCCTAAGAAATCTAGGACTTGACACAGAAGAAGTATTCCAGGTCAACATACCATTTGGAGCATCCCTTCTGTCCACAGGTTAGATTCTGTGTTGATTGCCCGCTCAAATATGGTTCTGAGTATGTACATCATAATATCACAGTTGAGAAGGTTGACGGCTTTGCTGAAAGCAGGGCAGAACTCAGGAGGTGGTGGTGGGGGCAGTGCTGTAGAGACAGGGATTAATAGGAAGAGGGACAGATTATGCTACATATGAAAATAAGTATTCGTATGCAAAATAACATGTCTTTTCTACCTTCAGAACACTAAAATTTCAGTGTCAAGGGAGATGTAAGTGACAATGTCAGTCTCCAAAAAGAAGTTCCATTTGCAAACAATTTAAAATTCTATCATCATTCATGTTGGCCATATCTTAATATAAAACAAAATGTAAAAGGCTCTTTGTACTTCCTTTAGCTGCCCACTCCCCAAAAGAACAAAAACAATACCCACAAAAAAGTCAAAATGAGTCAGTTCAAAATCTCATTTTTTACCTTCATCTTTATTTTCTTGTTTTCTCCTTTTCTTCTGCATGTGCTCGGCCTATTAACCAAATAAAAAACTATCATTAAATACACTGCTTAGCTAATACAACACAAATGAATACTTTTTGAAATAAGATAGGAAAGACCTACCTACTTACTAAGATATTTTAAATAGTGATTTTTTTTTCCTCTGCCTTTTAAATGTACTCAAAATATGAATACATTTCTAGGGACATTTTTGTCCTGAAACCAAACGTCTATCTTCACAAAGGACACAAGCTTTACAGATGGGCAATGGTTTTCATCAAGAACTTAATCCCATATTTTCATTTAAAAACATTTACTTAAGCTGGGTGCTGGAGGACTACAGTTCAAAGCCAACCCGGGCAGAAAAGTCCATGAAACTCTTATCTCTAGTAAACTAAGAAGTGGTGCTGTGGTTCAAGTGGTAGAGTGCTAGCCTTGAGTACAAAGACGCTCAAGGACAGAGCCTAGCCCTGATAAAAAAATAAATAAATGAATTAAAATTTAAAAATTCCCTACTTCCTCTTCTGAGCAAGGAAGTATGCAATGTTTTTTGGGTTTTTGGTTTTTTTTTTTGGTCTGGTCATGGGGCCTGAACTCTGGGCCTGGGCGCTGTCCCTCAGCTCTTCAGCTCAAGGCTAGCACTCTACCACTTGAGCCACAGTGCCACTTCTGGTGTTTTTTCTTTTTGCTTATGTGGTGCTGAGGAAGGGAACCCAGGGCCTCAGGCAAGCAAGGCAAGCGCTCTACCACTGAGCCACCTTCCCAGCTCTGGAAGTATGCAATGTTATACAAACTATAAAATGCCTTTTCTTTTTTAAGAAAAAAAAGCACTTTTTTAGAATAGAAAAATCACAAAAAAATCATGCAAACAGTTCTGTGTCAGTCAAGACTTTTGCAACCAAAAGTGTGAGTAAATGCCTGACAAACATCTGAGAGGGGATAATTATGTAATCATCTTAGCTCACAGTTTCAAAGGCTTCAGTCCATCATGTTCGGGGGAGGGGGACCAAAGTGAGGCAGAGCAGCTCACATCATGGCAGCCGGGAAGGAGAGAAAAAGAATGTCTTTCTTTCTTCTATTTGTAACTTATTCATAAAGACAAAATCAAATATCCCTTTAACTGATTAAACTCAGTACCACCCTTCATGAGGTCAAGAGAGAATGTGTGTATACTGATGTGATGTTATATATCGACTGTGTGTATTCTTTCCAGAAAATGTTTTGCAACTCTTGTTATTAGAATGCAACCAGTCTGAAGCAAGACAAAGGCTGTTTGAAAGGACAGTTAGCCTTTGTTCTGTAGAAGAGCCAATGTTATAAAAAAAAAATTTAAAAAGACTAAAGAAATATGATAATGAAATGAAACATGTGATCAAGAAACCTATCATACTTCATCTAATCCTCCTTTTGCCAGATAGCTATAAAGGTCATTTTTGTATAGTCAGGAAATTTTTAATTCAGTTAATTTTAATTTTAACTTTTTAGGTATGCTGACACTCTCCATTAATGAGAACCATAAAAATCAGGGACCTTTCTATAGATACAGAAAATATAAAAGATTTTAGGCTTATTTACTGAAGAGGTACTTTTTCCTACCTTGCTATGTTGTGTTTTGGAGTAATGATAAAAGTACATGTTGAAGTCTTTCAATGATTCTTCTTTCAGTTCATAAACTCCATGGCCTGATACGCCTGGTTTTCTATAGCAAATGGAAAATACAGAGATGAACTGCAGTGATCTTGTTCAATAGGAAACAGACAAAATAAGAATCTAAAAATTAATCTAAAATTTAACAAGCTATTTAAGAAATCATCTCATCAGGCTTTTTAAAAATGGAAATGATAAAAACCTATATTGTGAATGCAAAGTCCTGACAACAGTAAGCTCTACACCAGGAAGCTTGTTTAGTATGATCTCATGTCCTACTTAAATTCCATAGACTTTTTGTTTTGCCTCTGACACCTACAGGTGGTCTGTGACATTACAGCATTCTACATTGTTAAAGATCAACTCTAAAATGGTAAGAAGGCATCGTGTCATTATCAAGTTATAGATGGAAATGTGGTATGAAATCCTCTGTATAGTGCTGTAAGAAAGAGTTCTAATAACAGTAGTACACTGTATCTGCTCTGAACATTAGACAGCCCTAGGTTTCTGTCCAATTATTAAGTCAAATATAAATAAAATATATCACTAAGTATTATTACAACATACAAAAAAAACCCACATCCTCTTTTATAATTTATTTGAAGCCAGAAATTGTCTATAAATATAAAACTATAAGAGGTAGAAATACACTTATTGGTATCAGTTTTTAAATGCAAGTAATATTGTTTCTTAATTCATGTTTGGCAGTACGAGTATTTGAACTTAGAGCTGTGCACTGCCAAGCAGTCACTCCACCACTTTAGCCGTGTACCCAGTCCTCTTCTGCTTTAGTTCTTTCTCAGACAGGATTGCATATTTTTGCCCAGGGCAAGTCTCAAACTGCAATCCTCCAACCACTACCACCCAAGTAGTTGGGACTACAGGTGTTCAACACCTCATCTGGCTTACTTGTTGAGACTGGATCTTGCTTACATTTTGCTGGGGCCATTCTCAAACTGGGATTCTCTCAATCTCCACTTCCCAAGTAGGGAAGTGACGTACAGGCATGTGTTACCATGTCCAAGCCAACTACTATCTTATTTACATTTTGTAAGAATAAAGACCAGTCTACTTCTTAGAATAAGAATACACATCAAGCACTTACTTAAATATGGCCACTTTGTTTATCACATTCTCCAAGCCAGTTTCATTATTTTCCTGTTGAAACAAATTTTCATTATTTTATTTCATATGATGATTTTCAATTCTCTGTGAGTTGAAATACATTTTCAATTGTATCTTTCAAGAACTTTGGAAACAACAAATTAAAAGGATCAATTTCCAGTATAAACAATTTATACTTAAAATCAATGTTACATTTTGAGAGACCAATTTCTTTCTCTCTCTCTCTCTCTCTCTTTTGTTGGTCATGGGACTTGAACTCTGGGCCTGGGCGCTGTCCCAGGTAGAGTGCAGGCACTCTACCACTTGAGCCCCAGTGCCACTTCCGGTTTTCTGAGCAGTTTATTAGAGATAAGAGACTCACAGACTTTCCTACCTGGGGTGGCTTTGAACCGTGATCCTCAGATCTCAGCCTCGTGAGTAGCTAGGACTATAGGTGTGAGCCACCAGCACCTGGCTGAGACCAATTTCTTAAGATATATCTACACAGAAACTGCATAAGTTTGCCTTCATATGAGTGTGTGTGTGTGTGTGTAAAACCATACATACCTGTAATGTTATCGTAAGAAGCCTGCTTGCCTGCCTTCCTTTTTTCCTTCCTAACTTTCATTCTTCCTTCATTCCTTGCT